CAAAGATGAAAGTGTTCTTGAGACTGGTAGGCCTTTTAGCCTTGCCATGTTTGAAGGCGTTCTTTAAATTTTTACTCTAGATGTACGAACTAGCATCTCAGGCAGGCCAAGGTGTGTATCTGATCTAGGTGAATAATTTTCTATTCTAGGTTTTGTCTTTTTGTATTTTTTTATTTCTCTGTTGAGCCTTCTTATTGCAAATTTAATCCTTGATGGTATTGCTGGCTGAAATTGTAAGGCACGATCATTGCAAAAAGATTTAGACACATGCATCTATTTGTGGTCACAAAAGTTGTCCTTCCTTGCCACTTTTTTTCTTTTAAATCCCTTATGCACTGTTTCCTTTCTTTCCTTATATTAATATCTTTTCACTATTTCCAAATAAACAAGAAAGGTCAGACACAGCACAATTTTGTTACTTTGTGATTCTCATAAATCTTGTATTGATCGGTAATGGTTTTCCTTCAGTATTATTAGGCTTGTTTGATAATTCTCATGCTTTACAATTTGTCTGATGGCTTGAAAAAGTGCCACTGCCTGACATAGCCCATGACTAAAATGCCTGCTGTTACAGTGTCTCCACTTAAATTGTCTATTTTCTGAAAACATGTTACACTTTTTTCCAATTTATTTCTCTGTTTGTGGTTTATTACACCTGTTGCAACCCATTTAATGTGAAATAATGGGTTAGACTGAGATATTTTAGAAGTTAACTTGTGATCGGTAAAATGTTGTAACAAATAGGTTAACAATCTTCTGTACTATTCTGAGTTCGCCAATATTTTCATGGACCAAGGAAAGAAGAAACCTAGCACACCTCAAGAGTAATTACCAAAGGGTTAAATTTGCATTGTTTAGTTTCTTCTCTGTCTAGTGTAAATATTTATGTCGGCATTGTTGAAATATAATCCTGTTCTGCCGGATTTCTCATGTTCTGCCTGATTTAATCCTGTTCTGCCTGATTTAATCTTGTTCTCCCTGATTTAATCCTGTTCTGCCTGATTTAATCCTGTTCTGCCTGATTT